CTTACTACTGTAAGGTGTGTTACACTTTTGTTGTTGTTTTTACGGTGAAAATGGTGAAGTATATATTTATATTACAAAACTATTACACTTACTACTGTAAGGTGTGTTACACTTTTGTTGTTGTTTTTACGGTGAAAATGGTGAAGTATATATTTATATTACAAAACTATTACACTTACTACTGTAAGGTGTGTTACACTTTTGTTGTTGTTTTTACGGTGAAAATGATGAAGTATACATTGATATTACAAAACTATTACACTTACTACTGTAAGGTATGTTACACTTTTGTTGTTGTTTTTACGGTGAAAATGGTGAAGTATATATTTATATTACAAAACTATTACACTTACTACTGTAAGGTGTGTTACACTTTTGTTGTTGTTTTTACGGTGAAAATGATGAAGTATACATTTATATTACAAAACTATTACACTTACTACTGTAAGGTATGTTACACTTTTGTTGTTTTTACGGTGAAAATGATGAAGTATATATTCATATTACAAAGCTATTACGCTTACTACTTTAAGGTATGTTACATTTAACTTTTGTTGTTGTTTTTACAGTTAAAAGTGTAACATACATTACAGTCGTAAGCGTAATCGTTTTGTAATATAAATATATACTTCACCATTTTTACTGTAAAAACAACAACGTAAGTCTAACATACCGTACAGTTGTAAGTGTAATAGTTTTGTAATATAAATATATACTTCATCATTTTCACTGTAAAAACAACAACAAAAGTCTAACATACCTTACAGTAGTAAGTGTAATAGTTTTATAATATAAATATATACTTCACCATTTTCTGTTGTTTTTACAGTGAAAATGGTGAAGTATATATTTATATTACAAAACTATTACGACTGCTGTGAAGAAATGCACCAGGATTAGAGATCCGAACATGATTTTCCAGGCGTTTATTCAATCAAACTTATTAAATAATTATCTGTTACAAATCTTATATTGTTTGATGTTTTCACGCTAAATACTTACTGGATTATTTTTATCGAAAAACAGTCGTTTTCACTGAAAACTGCGAATGTGAGATAACCACCAAAATGTTGCCCATTCATCCTCACTCATTTATTATATTTATTCAACAATATGTATGCATAGAATGACAGCTTTAGCGTTTCATACCGCATCGCCTGAACTGTTTATAAAGCAGTGACGTACTTCCGGTGAGCGATTTCTACCACAGCACATTCAGTGATATATTATTGTTATCAACAACGCCAAAAGGAAGCGAACAGGAAGACGTTTTGAAATAGATTTTGTAAACCATCGTGAATACCAGCACAGATGGGATTGCCTCTGATAAAATACTATGAATTAATGTGATAGATATCCATTAAACTGTATGCTTACATCAATGTATAAGATGATACTAAAGTATTTATCATTTATAAAAAAACGTGATAATACCCGCAACCATAAGTATTATCCAAAATAACTAGACTGTAACGATACACCAAAAGCCGTTGCAAAGAAGAATAAACTGAATGTTATAAAAACAAGCAAAAAAAACCTGACTATCAGTTAGCTTTGACTGATTTTTTTTTCAGTCGTTCAATAAGTTTACATTATCTCCAGGATCCACACCATACATCTCTTTTTCCTCCACCCCTATAAGCACACATTCAAACATGTTTTATAGGTTCCAAACTTTATATTATAAACAAATTATGATTGGTATTATCTACAAGTCGGGGATGCCACTAGAAAGTATAGAAATATACCGAAAGAGGTTATAATCTAATAGAATATATTATAGGTCATAATAAGAGGTTATAATCTAATAGAATCTATTATAGGTTATAATAAGAGGTTATAATCTAATAGAATCTATTATAGGTTATAATAAAAGGTTATAATCTAATATAATCTATTATAGGTTATAATAAAAGGTTATAATCTAACTCCATGAAGTACTTCTGTTTAAAAATCTTGAAGTTTATCAAAATAGATTAATTGGTTTGGTTTGAATTTCGCTGAAAGCTACACCAGGGCTATCTGCGCTAGCCGTCCCTAATTTAGTAGCGTAAGACTAGAGGGAAGGCAGCTAGTCATCACCACCGCCAACTCTTGGGTTACTCTTTTACCAACGAATAGTGGGATTGACCGCACATTATAACTCCCCCACGGCTGAACGGGCGAGCATATTTGGTGGGGCGGGGATTCGAACCTGCGACCCTCAAATTGCGAGTCAAGCGCTCTAACCACCTGGCCGTAAACAGATGAATAATTTTAATGATAATTATATTTTCTTAAATTTACTTTCTTTATTTTTTATACAAATCTTTCAACTATTATATTTTGTAGTGTTGGTCTATACATAAAAGTGTATTCTGTGATATGGCCACGGAGCCCATGTACATAAATCTGATTAATTCTAAACAAGGGGGAAAAACCCCATTTTTTTCTGTAGCATTCTGTATTTTAATGCACAAAGTTTATAAAAAAGAAAGGCAGTGCCATGTATTTAAATTAACTAGAACAGTTAAGTGACTTGCCTAGACTACTCATATATGAAGTTAAGTACGTAGAGCTCTGAGAGCCGTGCTGGGCGTCTCAATGACTGCGAGGTTAAAACTATTCCACAACATGTGATACCCATCACATACATATAGCACAAAATACACTTTGAGACGAATAGTATGATTAGAAACGACAAACCGTTTGATTATCTAGTAAGAGGCACGCTAGATCTAGCAAAGCTTTCAAAACCATAATATCGGGGACAAGTATTAAAACTCAACAGGGTGACGGTACAGGTGCTCTAAGTATGTATAAACCAATGAAGAAATTCACACACAAAGCTTTAACACATAAACAATACTGTCTGAGATAGGGGTCTGAGAACAACAGATCTATTCCCCAAATACTTTTCCCTTTGTCATGCATAGCATTATATACACCCACCCCTACCTTATGCATGTGAT